CCCCACGTGAAGAAAAATGACCCCCGTAGAATAATGACCCCTTGTGGATTATAGCGGATTCAAGTTGAAATTTTTAGGGGCGAGGAGAGCATTGTTTTTCGATGGTGGAAAATCACTGTTTTTCCTAACAGAAAAAAAGCAATACTAGTTTTATTATATCATTAAACGATTAAATTGATACAAACTGATTAAGCAGACATCTCAAGTTTCTTGTTTACGTTTGCTAAAGTCCTAGCCAAACACAATGAAAGAATCGGAGTTAACATAAGCATAACCAGTATTAATTTTGCATTTGAAATTTAGTTTTGGTGCAATGTAGAAAAAATAAATGTCAGGGAACTTTTAGTATCAGAGGATTTGAATTTTTAAAAAGGCTAGTTTTAGGTTATATTTTGGATTTTTCAGTTGTAATACTTTGTGAATATGTCATAGAAAAATATTTTATTTTAAAAAAAAGTCAAAGAACCCTTGGGGTAAGGAACACTGGGGGGGGGGGGGAGGGAGGGACGTCCCCTAGCACCTGTGTACATAAAGGCATTTTGTTTATAATCTTAATTCTGGTCTATACATTTTTTAAAAAAAAAATGTTTTGTTGTAAAGTTAACAACAGAAAGTATATGTATACGGAAAACATGCTGATAATTTAAAAGATTGTGATGATAAGTTTAAGATGTAAAGCAATATAACTCTCGATAACTCTCAGGTTCTGTTTGTGTGTACAAATTAATACCTGTCCATTTTGTAAATGATCTGCCATCCATCCCGATTACTAGTATTCAACATGTATGTTTCATATTTACAATACCAAGCAACATATGAAGGAATTTCACTTGCTCCAGCCAAAAACGACCATCGGCAGTCCATTTCCCAATAAGCATTCATTTCTTAGTACAGTGTATGCGTTATATATTATATACTAGCCTCAGGATAAGGGAAATGGAAGGAGAATATGTATGCGGATAACAATGATACCACTTTCCATGAATTGCATCTGAAAATACACAATGTGTTATATTTTAATCCAAGAATACATAAAATGACATGGAAATATTACATTAATAGGAAAGTATATTGAAAGTAAACCTTATGATCTCCATTTTCAACTGATGTTGGACAAAATATTTCCTGGATTAATACAGAGAAATTCAATTATTCTGCCTGCAACAAAACTGGTTCTGTGTTGTGATAATTTTAAAATTGTAATGCAACTCTAACCTGACCAAGTCCGGGCCTCAGTGCCATAAAACTTAGATTAACTCAATTTTGATCTCAGTCTCACTTTTCTACTATTAATTCCTTTCGTAAAAGTGAGACTGAGATCAAAAGTGAGCTCGTCTAAGTTTTATCGCCCTGGAGCCAGACCTGATCTGTAAACTGATAACTATAAAAAGGAAAAACTCCAATGCAAAAGCAATTTTTGAAGGGAAAAAAAACACAACTGTAAATAGTGGTAAGGGTAACCACTAAAGAACCGAGAAAACATTTATCCTTTGGTGAAAAACTATTTTCGGGAACAGAAACTGTGCAACCACGCGTAAAAGGTTAGCACTGCATGAAAATCATTACATCCGGTAAGACTAATTTTAAAACCTGACAACAAAACCGGAAAATTCCGGACTCCTGAAAACTCGAACTCTTGATATCTCGAACTTTTTCCTCGGTGCCGTGGAATTCGAGGTATCGAGAGTTACCTGTACATGTATATATATATATATATATATATATATATATATATATATATATATATATATATATATATAAAATTTTCCTGTATCTCATATACCATTGTATGAATAAAGAGTAATAAACAATCAACAATCAACCCTTTAATTTCGTTATAGAAAGTAACCATTTACACTATTGATATTTTTCAGCATCTCAATATTCTTTAATTGAACTATTGCTCTTGTTTGAAAAATTGTTCCAATCATGTCTCAATCTCAAAAACTAATAATCTTTTTAAATATGTGACTTGAATAAAATTTCTTGATTCGATACGCAAGAGCATGCTCTACGTATGTACAATTTCTAAAACGAGGTAAATTATTGACAAATAAGTTGATGAAACAAGAATATCAGCTGTCTCGTTTAAAGTCATCATTTCGTAAGTTCTATGGTCGATACAATGACCTTGTCAGCAAATACAATTTATCATTGAGTCAAATGCTGACTGACGTTTTTCACACTAATTGTTAGGCCATTATTTACACACTGAATTGTCGACGGATTTTTCCGTTATTTCACGATCATGACAAGGAGCATACGGCGGGTGTGACCGGTCGGCAGGGGATGCTCACTCCTCCATGGCACCTGATCCCACCTCTGATGTTTGGAGGTCCGTGTTTGCTCTGCTCCTATTTTGTATTGATTAATGGACTTTTGAGCTTGAATACTGTTCGTTATCTCCATATATTTCATTATAAAAGATATCTTACATTGAATCAAAGTTCTTGAAATTCTTCTGTAGACGTTATTTATTTCTGAAAGCAATTATTCCAGCATTATTTTCAGCTACTCAATTAAATTATTGAATTAAATTAATTCAAAACATTTATTGTACGTAATACTTGATGCGCAAACTAACCATAAGGATATGACACGCCTGATCATAATTTTCCTCTCAGCTTTGAAATACATGTACATTATAAATACCCTCGAAGAAATAATTGTGGTAATTTATTTTCATTCATTTTAGTAAGAAGGTTCAATCTTAAAGATGGAAGATAACAAATAATAAAAATTCCTCAATGTTTGTCGCCAAATTTAATTTTAAGTGACCATCTAATTAAATCAAGTTGTATTCTCAACTATTTCATTTTCAAATAAATTATGATAATTGGGCAAAGGTACATTTTTAATAAAAACTATAAATTAACTATATGTGTATAATGTAGTTTCTAAACGCGAAATAAGATGATTCTTTTTATCATTTACATGAAATCTCATCACGGTAGCTCAGTCGGAAGAGCGCTCGCTCCGTGATCGGAAGGTCGTGAGTTCGAATATCGGCCGCGACCGACATTAGTCAATAAAAAATAGGTAGGAACTGTTCCTTTGCAATGCAATGTTCAGCAATTAAACTGATCCAACACGAATGACATGACCAAACAACCCCTCCCGAATATTTATAATGGTTGTTTATGTCTCATAATAACAATACATATTAGTAGGTAAAGGTTTGAAAAAAAATGTTTCTCAATTTATTTTTCCGTGGAAATTAAATTAGATCAAATCTTTACATGTTCAAAATACTAACTAAAATCAGCAAAGCTACATTATGATTATTTCAAGGATGTGAGTATTTCAACGATATTTCAAGGACATCTGTTTTGCTGCATTCTTTCTACTAAGTCTATAGGGAGCTGTTGCAATGAAGGAATGTTTTTTCTTTAAAATAAATTAAAGATATGAAAGGGACTACAAGACAATTATATTTCTAATCGGAACAGTTGCAATATTTGTCACATTTTGTTCAATATAGGATTGACTATATAAATTATTTTGTTCATTGAGAAATGAATCTAAAAAACGAATCGCACACTTTATGAAAGCCGAAGGCTTTCATAAAAAAGTGTGCGATTCGTTTTTTAGACTCATTTCTCAATGAACAAAATAATTTATATAGTCAATGCTTATAATTCAATTTCAGTGAAAAACATGTTTCTTTTCATGTACATACTCATTATTTAGCTAACTCAAAAAATTGTGCACGGAATTTACATGCCGACAGGTGCGTAGAAATATATCGATTGGAAAATTACACGATTCTTGGGAGCGGATCTAAAAGCCTGTAGTACACAAGGCGGATATAATTTTCTTTTAAATGTCATAAAAATAAAGAATTCCCCGTTATGTTTTATTGTCTTTATAATGATTTACTAAGTTATCGATTACGTGAGTTATGAAAATCTGCACGTGCAATTTTTAAAAGCGATTACACATAAACATGATAAAGCATGCAGAAACTTGCTTTATTGTCAGTAAGCAAACGGTCAACGGTAACACGTCGAGTGGAGTGCAGTGGAATATTAGAAAGAGATATCTTCAGGTTAAAAAAATCTAGAAATAAACTTGCTTGTCGATACACCTTAAAATACACGTACAACTTGTGACAATTACCATGGTTAATACCCTGTATAAGTTTGATGTGCAGACGAATTTCTTGAGAATGTGATAATAACACTCACATCAGGAAAACTTAGTCTAAGGTCCTTCTTATCATTTAATTTTCATAACCTACATAACAAAATTTTTTCTAGTTTGGTTTTCAATTTGTACTAAATTCAATGTAAATTCTTTCTTTACAAATAAAAAACGTAAAACACGTGCTTCTTTACAGAGTTATATCCCTTGCCATCCCCGGCATTACCCATTGACAACAATTACCTCGCTTAATAAATTATTTGAATATTTTTCTTTTTTCTTCTCAACAAGAATTATTATTGTATGATTTAAAAATAGAAATATATGATTAAAATATTTCCTTTAAAGCACACGGAGAGAAACAAAAGATTTACAGAAGCTGAATTTAAATCATGAAAAGAACATTGTCGTACGTTTTAGAGACTATTAGTTTATAACACAGTCGGATTTCTGTTATTATTGGAATGACAAGCACAAACAACAGCTGTATCAAAATGAATTATGAAAAGTAGTTCGGTTACTAAAATTGACTTTACATTCATCGGAAAATGAACAGAAAAAATTCTCCATAAAAGTACATTAGTTCAAAGTGATGAAAGTAAGGAAAATTGAAAATTAATGTACACTTTCACTGTTGTGTGTATTCGTGGGATGATTTCGTGTGATTTTCTTCACCAGAGAACAGACTGTTATTAAATGTTTTGCACCGCCTTTATCTGTCTTTATAAATGAAACAGGCAACTATCGACACAAATTGTCACGAAACCAGTATATAATGTTACATTTTAATTGTGACAAAATAAAGTATATATAGTATATCTTCTTAGTAATGTAACATGTATATTTAAACAAGTAACATGGGCCTTGTTCTAAATATTTTCTATGTATGTTGTTTCTTTTTGTGCATTACAACCATTGTTTGCATTGAACCACATTCTCATCTGAAAGGTATTTTTAATATAGATATTTTATTGAAATTTATAAATCAAATACATGCATTATAAATAATAAGAAATTTGAGTGTGCGTTTTTTTTTAATTCGAGATCAACACACATGTAATACAGAATGCTTTTTTTTAATATCGGTGTATCTTCTATAATATTTTTGTGATTATTATCTCAGGAAATGTTGAGTCTCTACTGAAGTTAACTCCCTGGAACTGGAAGCACCTGAACACATCCGTCAAAGTGGATACTCCAGTCTCTGTGGACATTTCTCTTCTCTCTCACTATAGACTTACAGGGAAACACTTCAACAAGTATCAGAGTCAGTATACAAAGTTTTTTGTGAGACAGAAGGGAAAAAGCAATCTCTGTCTAGTGATTTGATATCCTATAAGTTTTTGGAAAAGTCTGTGAAAATTAATAAGATACTGATACTGGCACATATCATGATTTTATTCTTTGAATTTAAAAATTATCATCATTATGTATGCAATATAAAGAGAATAATTATACATACCTTCGGTCCTGGGCTGAATTTGGTGTCTCTGGCATATTGCAAATGCAAAAAACAACAACAACAAAACAAAAACAAAAAAAAAGTTTTTGTTACTAAGTGTGTAACAAATTATCTTCGAAATAGAATTTCCAATGCAAAAGGACTGTGCTTCTATTCTAAAATTCATACCCAACACAAAAGGAAAAGATGGCGTCTACACTATTAACCCGGATATGAAGACAAAAAAACTGGTGTACTGTGACATGACTACGGATGGTGGGGGTTGGACGGTAAGAAGTTTTATGATTTTTGGTATAATTAAATTTTTATAATTCATTTATTTAATTTAGGTATATTATATATTCTTTGGGTAAAGATGGTTTTTACTGTAGGTAATAGAGATTATATCGACCTTGAATTAAAATCCTTTTTGTGTATGTTTTTTGACAATTAATTTAGTACTTTTTTTAAATATACATGTAGGTTATTAATAGGCGGATTGACGGATCCGTAGATTTTTATAGATCCTGGGATTCGTACAAAGAAGGATTTGGAAATGTGGAGGGGGAATACTGGTTAGGTAAGACATAAATTGATTATCCATCATATGAATTATAAATTTATCCCCAAAAATAAAGTTTAGATAAATTTGAATATGTCTCCTAATAGATCCTTTAGTTACATGCATTTACCCATTTAAATCCAATTATGAACTAGCACAAAACGGATATTTAGGGGGAAAAAACTATTTATGCATGTATACCGAACTCAAACTGAGAAAAATGTGGTGGCTAATGGGTTTGGTTTATTTTTGCAATATGTCTTTAAAAATAAGTATTTATAATTTTTTTTTAAAAAAAATCTTCTTCTCAAGAACAGTTAAGCCATGATTAGTCATATTGATATGGAAGAATCCTCAGAAAGTTAAGATTCAAGTTTATTGAAATCATGACCCCCGGGGTAGGTTGGGGCAAAAATGGCGGCTTAAAGTTTGATATAAAAATATATAGGAAACATCTTCAAAAAATCTTCACCAAAGAACAGCAAAGCCATGATTGTTCATATTGATATGGAAGCATCCTCAGGTAGTGTAGATTTAAGTTTGTTCAAATCATGACCCTGGAGGGTAGGAAGGAGCCATAATGGAAGATTGCAGTTTTACCTAGGATTACATAGGAAAAATCCTAAAAGAATTGTCTTCTCAAGAATAGCAAAGCTATAATTAGTCATATTAATATAGAAGCTTCCTAAAGTAATGTACATGTATATTCAAGTTAAGCTTCTAAGCACATTCAACACGAGATTTTTTCCTCATAACCGTTAACAGACTTTCAAAAAGTGGTTTTCTATCCAAGTACCTTATTTGATTGTTTAATTCTTTTTTTCCATACAAACAAACATTTCTACACTCAGAAAATCATTAAAAAAAATTTACAACCTACACCTGTATTTTCATTTATCGTTTTACAAAAAGAAGGTTTTAATGATTATTGACTTTTTTGTTTTCTCATTTTCTCATCTTATCAAATTCTTGTGCATTGAAGAATTCATTCACAAATATGTAATGTATGGTTCAATTTTTTCTGAACATAGTTCTTGAAATAGAACCCAAATTCTAATTAATTCTGAGAACCTGATTCTACCTCTGCTCTGATATTTTAAGGTCCTTTCTGCTCAACTCTCAATTTCTATTGTTTTAATGGAATTTTGAGCTAGGTTACTATTTGCTGTCTTCAATTTCATTTCTCCTTTTAATAAGTATCAATAATCGATTTTGAAGAAAATTGTTAAATTTTTTGAAATTGTATAAAGCATACAATTGCACCAAATAGATATTTAGCCGAGTTTTTGAATTGCATCAATTTTTTGCATGTTATTTCATAATGGTTTGTCTGTGTGCTATTAGTGTCAATTTTCTTTTATAGGAAATGAAGACATTCACTTACTTACTAAAAGGAAACAACATGAACTGAGAGTGGACCTTCAAAAATTTTCAGGCGAAAAGGCTTTTGCAAAGTACTCAACCTTTTCTGTCGGAAGCGAGTCCCAAAAATTCAAATTGACAGCCAGTGGGTACAGTGGCACTGCAGGTGATTTATTAATAACAATAAGAACGAAAATCAATTATTCTTTCTAAATATGACAATGATTGTTGCCAACGTCGAATTTTATTCATGTAAATGGAAATGTATTGATAATGACAACCTACATAAGAGGAGTAAAATATATAATAGGCCTCGGTAAAACGTAAACATAAAATTGTTCTAAACAAGAGAAAAGTGGGACAAAAAATGTAAAAAATGAATGTATATTTCAGGAGATAGTTTAGCACATCATAATGGAAAACCATTCTCCACGAAGGATGCAGACAACGATTCTTATAAGACTTCCTGTGCTGTTAGAGGGAATGCTGGGTGGTGGTTTGGAAGCTGCGATGATAGCAATCTGAACGGACCTTATCTCAGATCTGCAGTCAAAACGGATCGGAGTATTAATTGGGACAAATTTGGAAAAGGTTTTTCCTTGAAGTATGCAAAAATGATGATCAGACCAAAAAATTAAAAAAAAAAAATAACAATAAAAGAAGACTAAACATGTTTCCCTTTGTGAATTTGTACAATTGTTTAACTTTAATTGATGTTTTGATCTTCATTTGGGACATCTGCATGATAAAATTTGGAACCATGATTTAAAAAACCAGGGATGTTATACATAGATGATATTCGATGTTTTCTTAGTTAGGTATGGAATTTTTTATGAATGGGATACTCAGCGGATTTAAAAAAAAATTACAAGTGCACTACAAATTATAGGAAGTCGTTTATTATTTTATTAATGTCCTTAGAAATGAAATATGCTGTACTGTCAAAAGGACCCTTATCAATGAAAAATATATATGAATTAATGAAATGATATTAGAATTTCAAATATACAAAAAGAAAAACAACAGTTGACGTCCTTTCAGGAATTTGGTATATTTTGATCAAAGTTTACATGTAGTTTTAGTAATTAATCGCCCGCGTGGCGCAGTGGTTAGAGCGTTTGCTCTAGAGTCGCGGCGTAAGGATTTGATCAGATGGGCCGTTAAAACCGAGGTCCCGAGTTGAAGTAGGTGCTGGCACGAAAAAAATCCCTCACTGCTCAAATAAAGTTCTCGCGAATAAAAGTGATTTACAGTAGTCTGCAGTTTGGTGAATTATTCCATTTATCAGAACAAGACAGAGGAAAAGATGTGGAGAACAAAGGATGCTTACGCATCCAGTGCTTTTTATCCTCTCTCTGATGTTTTTAAAAGTCTTCATCACATTCCCACCAAACTTTACTCTGTCCTTTTGAAACTTTTAAATAGTCTACTTGAAAAGGTCAAGAAAAGTCCATGTTTTGATTCCTCGACACCAGAATACAGGCTCGGATCTGTGGTTTTGGATATTGCAAATCATTGGCTTTTTAAACCGCCACGTTTTACAGATGAAAATGCAGCTTTAACAACTCGTTTTTTCCTCAAACTCCAATATGCCAACAGAGGAATTGACTCGGTTAATATAAGTAATATTCTTAATCACAAAAAGGTCCAATCTTGTATTCCTCCATATTTCAGGTTGAAGACTACACCGTGTATTTCCTACAAATATATATCGACTATTGCTTCCAACCTTTTTAATTACAAGAAAACTTTACAGAGCCTGGATATTGAGCATCTGATACATAATCCTCCTTCCTGTTCTTCACCCTACAACTATTCCCCTTACATTTTTGGACTTTCATATTTTGGAATATGATCGGGGAAAACCTGTAGAAATGTACAATAAATTTTCGGTATTTCGAATTTTATCCTGTGGGCAATTGGGGGTCAAAAACAAAGTTTTCTCCAAACAACCTGGTTCCCTGAACTCTTACATTTTTCATAGTAGCTTATGAATGGGGTTATCCTGTAGGTGAGCAATACGGTTTCGGAATTTCGAATGTCACCATGGGGCAATTGGGGACAAAAACGAAGTTCCCGATTTACTGCAAAAACTGACTGCCTGAACAAAACTTTTAAAAATTCTCAAAACATAATGGCATAATTTATTTTGATTATCTCAGTTTCAGGCCACTGATAACTACTATACAAATCAGTTGGATTTTTTGTTGTTGTAAAAATAATTACAACAGAATGTGTACGGAAAACTTGCTGATGCAGAAATCAAGAAAAAAAGGTGAAGATGAAGATATACGAACAGTGATCGATCTAAAATTTATCGAGATGATCGATAGTTCGAAAATATGGAGAAGTACTAGTAATTCTAGTAATACAGAAATTTGATTTTGGAAACCAGGGAACAGGGCGGTTCACAATCTTTTCTTACGAAAGGGACTAAGGCATCTGGTGTATCACTAGGAGGAGGAGTTCGAGGAGGAATAGGAGTTCGAGGAGGAATAGGAGGAGGTCGAGGAGGGGATAGGAGAAGGTCGAGGAAAAGGAGATAAAGGTCTAGGAAAAGTAATATTGGGAGCAATGGGAATGCAAAGCGAGTCTTTGTGCCTGGTAAAAATCAGAGGAGGAAATAAAGGTGGAAGCGGACGTGAAGTTGATGGTGGAAATGAAAGTGATGGAGGTTGAAGTGGTGGTAAGTTTTAAAGACAAAACCCAGATAAACTCAAAATGTTTACAGGTAAGATTAAATTGCCCCCCTGTAAAACTGTATGTTGCAAGAATGTGCTAAATACGTATCAGAAATTTGTAAATTAAATGTTAAAATTTGCGTAAATCAATTTGAAGTTCATGTTCAATCAATGAAAAAAATAAACTTTTCTTTTTTTCTTTTTTTTTTTTTTTAAAAAGTTTTACAGATCAGCACATAAAACATTGATTTTTAGTCGCTATTCATTTACTTCATTAAAAACAAATTAAAACATTCTTCTTAATTTGAACATCATTTACAAGTACATGTAATTCATTTGAAGATGTAATTTCTTAGCCTGCATTAAACTTTTGTTCGATCTTTGTTCTTTTCTAACTTTCTGTTTTCAAAGAAGGTGATGAAGGCCCTTGGTACGAAAGATGGGTCGAAATGTAAAAGGAGGCACCGGGAGTGTTGCAATATCAAGGCAATAATTACTATCTATTACGCATCGGGAGTAATGAAGCGCACTGGTACGTCAGACGTCATGCAGGATCTATCCTTAAAAAGTACAGGGATACACATCATCATCTGGAGTTCGTAGGGTCGGCGAATGAAAAGTTTGAAGATATGCCATAAAAACATGAATTTAATCCAGAACCAATAATTCAAAAGAGTAAAATGAAAAGAATCAGATAATCATGCAATTTTGAGTTTCTTCATATAAACATGTATATTAGAATTTCAAAGAAAAAAAAAATGAAAATTATATGCAAATCATTTCTGCATTTGGTATAAATAAAGAATAAATCGTAAATTATTAAACTATACAAATATGTTTGATACATGTGTTACTGTGTTTTTTAAAGGGGCACAGACAAAATTTGAAGTTTTTATCCCCAAAGAAGATGGGTGAACATATATGACGAGCGAAAAGCCTATAGTGTGACAAACATGAAGGTGAAAAATTAAAATTTGATTATATCAAAGATTTCCTTAATATTTCATTTAACATTAAAATATACTTAAGGTAAAATCTCTATAATTTTCAAAAAACTCACAAAGATTGAAATTATATTAGCTTATGAAATATTATACACACACCTAAGAGGACAAAGAGAGTCATTTTCTCACACTATAACACAATTTTTCGTTATTAGTGGGTCTTTGTCCATTTTCTTGAAAGTTAATCCTCAAAGTTTGCATAAAATTATACATTTTTTGGTTTCCAAAAACATGGAGCAAAGACCCACTATAGCTTAAAAATATACTTTTATGACATAGCTATAGCATTTGCATCTTTTCGAGAAATACTTGAAGTCCATAAAGTCAAAGGTCATATCACAAACATGATTTAAATGCCACTCTTCATCAGGACTTGTGTAGTCTAGTGGTTAGCGTGCTAGTCTCGAAAGAAAATGATACTTAGGATTTTTATTAGAGTTCGAACCCCAAGAACACCGCATTATTTTTTTAATAAAAGAATAAATTTTGCCGAGAAAATATTCCTCAGAAAAGTTTTGTTTATTATAATTTCATAAATTTCAATAATGAGAACTTTACTCTAAATACTAAATTCACAAATTGAAATGATTTTTATATATCTGAAGCTATAGGCTTTCTGCACGCTATGTTCACCCATCTCTTCTATTGGCATGATTTTTACGATTTATCTAAGCTGAAATAGTACTTTAGACTAATATATCATAAAAAGAGCTAAAAAAAATCTCTTTTCTAAATGGCAATGAACACCACACCATAACACGTTCCGTCTTGAGAGGAAACAAAAAAAAAGAAAGCATATCAAGACAAAATGTCTACATATTAGGCTAACGTTTGATTGTTCAAGACGTATTATAACATATTAGGTTTACCACGACTATAATGCTATTCTGAAAGTTTTTTGCACCCATGGCTGAAATGTTTATGATATATTTTTTTAACTCATGTAATTTGTCATATGTTTGTATATATCAAGTTTTTGTAACTACTTGATTATATTTTGTTCTTAAAGAGATATTGTATATTAGACATCATTTTTTACATTTAAATATTTAAATAACATTTTTAAGAACAGTTTTGATCGGGAAAGGTACCTTAGTAAATTTCCAAAAGATGTAAGAATTATGTTAATATAGATCTTGATATGAGGGCTTACCGATTATGCCCAGAGATTTCCTTCCAATTAAAAATGGTAGAAGGATAAATATAAACATACAAAAGAATTTTTCCTATTTGTGATGAAGTCTCTTTTGGTGATGAATTCCACTGTACAATGTAGTGGCCATTTCAGACATAACTTGAGAAAAATAATGTACATGTACTCTTGTTAACTCTCAAAAATTTGAGATTATATTAGGTTTACCACGACTAATTAAAAACATGTGTTTATTTATTCATAAGATAATTGCCTGTCTTAATTCTATTCTATTCTATTTTAAAACCATGCTTTACTCCTACTTGTATGGTATTTTGTATATGCATACAATAAAACAAGTCATTAATGTGATAAATGTATGAAAATTATATAAATGAAATCCAAGGGAGTTCAGTTACCGATATGTAGCCCTACTGTTTCAAAACTTAAGATCTGAGTTTAAAACACTGACTAAGTACAAAAATACATGTTATGTTATTCTAAATATATTATAAGTTCCAATAATTCAAGCAATACGTAACATATTAACCCAGACAAGCACTAGTAGTACAGACGGAATAAAAGTAATGTAATTTTAAAATTTTAAGGAATGTATACAATTGAAATCCATAGCAGCTCAACGCAGCCGAGAATACACGGATCCGAGTAACACAGAGTGAGTTATTCTTGTCCTCGAAGAAAGTGTGCTATACTTGACGGTGTTTTAGGTACATTGGAATGTTACGATTTGCTCTCTCTAGTGTTTCTTATATCAAGAATGGACATGCATAAAGGATAGATAATTGAAAAAAAAATACGCAAGTCTATCAAAAAATTTAAAATAGTCTTTGAAAAGGCGAGAATTTAAAACTATAAAAGTGTGGCACCATTTGGATTCGAACCCCGAGTTCAAAAAAGTACCACGGTGTGTATAGTCAGCGCTTATACCAATTGAGCTATTCTATGACATTAAAATGTATAAATGTGAAGCAGATTGTCAAAATCAGGTTTCCTTATTTTTTGTAGGTTTTTTTGTGAATTTCGACCCTAGGGCAGGAGTGCCCCTTAAATATTTTATCTTAAATTATTCGTTTCAACCCAACTTATCAAAATATCACAATTTTAGTTAGAGGCAGGCCTACCATGAAGGACTTTTAGCCATTGAAATTCATGCAAAAATCGACGCTTTATCGGACAAAATGCTGTTTTGACCAACTTTGGAGATTTATTCTAAAGTTGTAAATAATAAATTTTAGGTGTGAAATACAAATTTGAAAAATTTAGACATATGTACGGTTGAAAACAACTAATAAACAATGATTTTTAAATGTAACTTTTTTCGGGAAATTGTTCTCTCCTATATAGCAGGCCCGTAGGAAGCAATTTCACTTTGAGGGGGCACAACCATACATTTTCAGGTGGGGGCACTATCAACTAACAAAATTCCTTGGCAAGCAAAAAAAGGGGGGGGGGTCATCAGACGTTTTTATTGAGGGGGCACAAGCATATAGTACATGTAGCTATGTTTTTATCGTATTCTAAATATCGACAAAATTATTGCCCCTCCCCCCCCCCGTTTCCTTCGGCCATGCATAGGTCAATTGTTTTGAAACTGTGAAAATATCCTTCTGACCAGTCCCTAACGTTACTGTTGAGTCGCCCAAATGGCACAGATGTTAGAGAGTTTCATTCTACAGTCGCGGAGTAAGGAGTTGATTCTTAAATCGCAGGTTCGAATCCCAAAAGTGTGTCTTATTATTTGACGTGCCATATGACATAAGGAAAAAAAATAAAGAATTTATCTTTCGTGATTTTTTGTGATCTTTTCGGTCAATTAGATTAGACTGTATAAACCAAGGTCCCGTGTTGCAGTAGTTACATGTAGTGGCACGAATAAGATCCCTCACTGCTCAAAGGCCGCAAGACTGAACGCGTTAACCACTACGCTACGAAGTCTGCTTGCCTTGTTTGATGTCAGTGTTACTTAAATAAACGAGTTTGTTGACGCGTAATTTTTTTTTTCCAGAAATGTTCGATTTTCATATAGAATGGGTTCAGACTCCTTTTTTTTTGAAACATAAAATAGATTTTACATTTACTTTTCCGTCATATAAACGTTAATGAAGAATGGAGACTTGACCCATTCATATTCAAAAATCATTTTTTATGGTTCTCATTTTCCACTAATTGTGCTTTACTGCCGACTTTAAAAAGAAATTATCAATTAAAAAGTCATTCAATAAAATAACTGAATCAAATGTGTTGAAGATGACATTACGGAAAACATTATTTTAGAAAAATATAACTTTTCCGTGAACTTTGAAAATTGATAATACAATGTATATTGTCCCAGAGCGGGGGACTGTCCTCGCCTTGTATGCCCCCTTTCTTTGCAGCCTTCTCTCATGTTCTAAATTATCAAATTACTTTATGGGCGTAAATACAAAGTTTAGAATATAGTTGTTCAAGGCCGTGCGAAACGTACATGCACGTGTACTTAACAGAGGTTTTTCCCATTAATAATTTTCCGAAATATTCTTAGCACCATCAGATGTTCTTAGACAAAAAAATCTGCATACATTACCAGGAGTTTTGTACAGATATCAAAAGATAAAAATCTTTGCATCTTTTTATGGAAAAATTACCCCCCCCCCCAAAAAAAAAAAAACTTTAGCTAGATATCCTCAAAATTTGATTCAGAAGTGTACAGCATTACCAAGCATCATAAAATCGCATAAAGGTCTTTCAATTATTGGAATAAGAAAATAAAGTTAAAGACTACCTTGCTAACGTCCTTTAAAAAAGAATATATCGAATAACAATTATATAATTTCCTAACATTTAAAATGGAAATCAATGCAGTTCAACAAAAAATTCACTCACAAATAGTATATTGTATATACATCTAAACTGATTCATAGCAATAACTGACAGGCGTGGCAATATAATGTAAAGACGTGGTAGATATACAGTAACACACCCTTACAGCAAAGTGCCAGGGACAAACAATATGTTTCGTTATAAACGTAATTCGTTACATCCCATTTCATGGGGGTTTTTTAACCACAGGGAATGAAAATCGCCTTACTGTATGTATAAGGGAATTAACTACACTGTACAAGCATCTAACCGTGTTTATTTATATGCACTATTTCCTTAGTAAAATATTGTTATATGATAATGATGACAGAATTATTTTAGTTTTCACAAAGGAGTAGAAAGTTTTGTAATTTTTACCTATGAATTTATTTATTCTATTCTATTAGTTTTATTGGGGGGGGGGGGGAGGGAGGGGGGTCACTGGGATTTAAAAAAAAAAGGAATTAGTGTATAAAGATTTATTATTATGTTTTAAGCATAGATAACCGTCAGCTTAGACAAATATTTCTTTCGTATGCATAACACAAATACACTACACAGAAAGAGCTGGTGATACAGTTAAGATTTAAGAAAAAAAAAGGTCAAGTAAAAAAGAAAGAGGAAGGAAATGCATTTTAAACATTGTTCGCTTAAATTCTTTAAAAGATGCAGACTAGCGCTGGCAACACCATTACTTTTATTTTTCCTTCGTCGACACGGTAAGGAAATCATTATAGATACATCACTGGTTGTATAATATTTTGAGTTTTTGAAATACAGATTTGCCTGAGTTATATCTACCGAGTATTTAACAAATAAACGTAGAATTTTCTGTCAAAAACCATTAATAAAAATATGCATTTTGTTTTAATAAATGGTTCTATTTTTGGAAATTTATTTATTTATAACTCATTTTTCATATATTGATGGGTAAATTAGATCAAATATTATCATTAAACAAATATACATGTAATATACAACATACCCTAAAACAAAAGGATTAAAGAGTAAAAAGGCGTATTCGGTGGGCTTTAACAAAGAAAAGCACGTTTGCAAACTTGATGTTTGTTCTGATTTGTACAAAATGTTGATAGCATGTGTTTTTTTAGTGAGTCATACGCCACGGACTATTAATAGAAAAATCAATGAGGTAAACCCCTCGCATCAAAGGTTACTTCTCAGGTCAAACTCCTACTGCGCATCCTCTGTCTACATCACCAGAATTTAAAATACTGGCGGAGAAGCTCGTATACTGTATGATGTATATTTAATGTTTCAAAATGCTAAACGTAAAGGTAAGGGATATTTTTTGTTTATATCGTCTATTTTTAAAATTCCTTTGTGTAGATTAAAAGCGTAGCATATTCAGGTGTGAGCAGGTGTGGAGTGACTCATACACAAAAACCAAGATCAAGAAGGTACTATGTGCTTTTCTTTTTTCAAATTTCTTTCCATGCACATCGCCTACAATTAGAAATTAAAAACATTCATCTTTTCCAAATAAATTCAGTAAATGTTCATGCATTTAATAGCTTACTTGCAAAAATGTCTAAATGTAATATTCTTATTACCTTGACAAACTTTAAATCTGAACAAATACATTTGCTTATTTCGATAAATTGTAAAAATAAACCTTTTCATAAGTATCGAAGTAAATGACATCTGAAAATCTGAAATATTTTTTTTTACAATGTATAAAATTTTGATTAGAGTTATCGTTCTTTACACACTCGATCTTCAACGTCGCTTTGAAATGGTGTAACATAAAAATAAATGAAATAATAAATTTTTGATGAAAGCGAGATCAATATTCAAATTAAATCTTGCAACCTATGCATTAGAACAACATTCTTTTTTATGTATTAAATATGTATGGTCATGTTAAGTACTTACACGATTAATGACACATATCAGTCGTAACCATCGCTTAACCTCTGACATTTCATATATCATATGTATCTGTTTCCGTGTCAGGTCTACCCGAAGTAATATGTAAATCATGATCACTTAAAAGAGAGACGTATTGATCAAAAGCCTGCGAGACAGGAATTATCTATAATTAAATACGGGAAACATAACGCCCAGGCTATCAACCCGACGATCGATTTTAGAAATATTTCATCAATACAGAATATTTTCCAGAATAACAAAACCCAATTTCCTTTTTTACCGTGCATAACTTCATAAACGGAGCCCGAAGGAGTGAGATGAAAAACGATTTTTACAAAAATTACGTAACTGCCAAGCATGAAGCAAACGCAGACTTTATTTCTGAAATCAAAAATATCTTAGAAACAATAAAGATTTTTATTCTGTGTAAAGTGAGCTGTCAAATTCAATTGATTCAGGGTCTTTCAATCTTCTCAGTTAATAGCTTGGTGTAATAAATCCTTTAGTATTTGTTTTCATTTTTCTATGGTAGTATAATGCAGTGCACATGTATTGAACAATGAATCATGTATGAACAGACGAGGGTCGATATAAACACCAAGTCACTTCATGGTCCCCGTATTACATCATCGCCGCCATCCCGAGCTGTTCTTGCCGACAACTCTAACAAAAAGTGTATCCATTCCCGGCCAGGCAAAACAACCCTAAAACAGAAGGGTTCTCGTTATGGATGGAAAGGTAACATCAACATCAAAGATTACATAGAGTTACAATCTACAAATTACCTCCATCGTCCGCAGTTAGGAACTGATAACAGCTCACGACCTCATCAGACCACGACAAACGATAACTCTTCTGGAGGAAGCATAGATCCCATCAGTCTTCTCTCAGGAGACGGTGCCACTCCGAAGTTAAGTTTTGATAGACTTCCGTGTAAAGGAAACAGAGCCGATGATGCTGCATTGTCTGTTACGAAATCACTAAAGAGCAGATGTATCTGTAGGGAGGGAAAAGAGAATGTGAGATGTAGTGAGATAAATGACAAGATTCTGAACAAAGACATTAATCACCGTTTTATCAAAAACAACAATCTTCCAGGATCAATTCCATGTCAAAAAGTTACAAGTCAAACTCTGAATCATAAAGTTTTGCTTGGCCGTGTCCCAAAAGATAAAAAAATAATATCAAGAGACACCCCACCAACAAAGCCGGGATTATTTTCTCCTAATTGTACAAGACGGGGTCAGACTAACGAAAAAAGTTTGTTACCAAAGTCAACTTCTTCAAGGACAGCATCACTTCATGCCCTAAATAGATCTTCATGTTTCGACAAACGAGATTCCAAGATATTGGATAATTCAATTAATTTGGTTACCAGTATACCTCAACAGTATTCGTACTTTAACTGTCAGAAACAAACAGATGTTGTTTCTAAAAGGAGATCAATCCATGGCAATACAATAAAGAGGATATCGGGGAACGATGAAATAAAGCATGCACATCTATATGCAGACTCCCAAGGACAAAGACGTAGACTAAATTCATCAAGAGAGTTACTGGAGGCAAGCAATCCTAATAGACGTATTGCGAACGATACAAAGAATTCACTATTGCTAAATCCAGTGCGACGTGACGATGAAAATTATGACAAAGTTCGTGTCAGTTGTAACAGTTATAAGACAAGACTAATTACCTCAAAATGCCATGGAAAAATATACATTGGGGAAATGAAAAATGCAAATTTGACAAACTCTTTAGATATGAGTAGTGAATTGGTAAAAGTTAGAACAATAGATAAAGTAGCGTCGAAGAACTTAGAAATCTCGGATAAAAAGCGTGGGACTGTTTATGGCACCAAGAACCAAGAAGTTGCAGTCTCAAATCGCAGTCTAAGAGAATACCGTGTCCCACTCAGCAAGCTTCTGCACAACAGAACCGTATCGACGACAGGAAAAGGAAGCCGTTCTGATAATCTGCATAAACGTTTACCTGTATTACCTACTTCACCTGAGAAACATTTAAACGACGGAGATAAAACAACAAGTCTCACTCAGGAAGGACAATATACGGATGGTGGCGCGCAGGGACAGGACAGGCATTCTGGCCGCGAGGACACTGTCCATTGTAAGACCACACACCCACGTGTAATTAATAACGACATAGATTATCAAAGACAAAATCTCAGGAGTAGTTCCGAACACAGGATTGGGTCATACATATATTGGGAGAGTGATACACTTGTATGCCAAAACAGTTGTGTAGGGAATAGTGATTATGATTACCATAATGATTCCACATTATCGAGAAATGTTGATGGAATAATTAATTGTGTCGGACATCCAACAGAGATTTATGAAGATTCGTTAAGTCCAGATGGAGAGAGTAAAGTGAAAAGCTCATACGAGACGCGTGGCTTTAGTGATATACAAGAGCTTCAAGGTAAGTTGTGTATTATTTACATTTAAAAATAATAAATCGTTTTGTGTCGAATCAGGCGTGTGCATTTTTTAACACCGATAATAATCTGTGTTTTTGTTTCAGACCACGCTTGGGAAGATTTGGACACTAATCAGCGTAATAATTCTGACATACACAAAGCGAAGGATCAAGTTGTTTTGTGTCAAACTGATAAAGAAATAAAAGGTGCACAGGAGTATAAGGAAAACACTGGAAATGAAACCCTGTGTCAAGGGGATTTAAAGGGACAGCCATCAGGAAATTATAATACAAGACGGGATCAAGGATTAATAATCAGAGGACGGGACAATACAGCCGATGGATTACCATTGATAAGTGATTTTAGCAGAGGAAATGACTTTAAGGAACCGCGACCTTATTGTGGAATGAACACACAACTTGCACAAACTGGAAATCATTCTGGTGAAGTAGGCAACAAGGGAACATCTGTTCGAAAAACACTCCAAAAAAGAGGATCTGCAGACAATTCAGGTACTAAAAGCACTACAAATATTAAAAAGACCGCGGAACTAAATAAAACAAGGAAGCGGAAGCCTGATGTTCTTTTACAAAAAGATAAAATAAAGGATGCATCAACCAACACTAAGGAAATTGAATCTGAACAAAAATCTCTAGACAAACTTGTTTGTTCTAACACTCAAAATCGCATCAAAAATCAAAGTCATGTAACATTACATGCAAAAACCGAGACTTCAGAGCAGCTGAATGTGAGTGAACATCAGAGTAGGGAACTTGTTCGAACACCTCCAGGGCTGGCAAAAAATCGCAATGAAGCAGGTAAGACTAACGTTTCGTCTACGTGTAAACGTCCAGGGTGCAAGCATTCGACATTGATAGGTTACAAACCAAAGCAAAAGTGCTCCCTTGCCAAGCATTCCCAAAGTTATCAGAAAACCCTACACTCATATACTTTCCCTGAAACCGCTAATAAGGATGAGACATTAACATGTAACAGTTCATCACCTACAGGGAGTCCATCCAGCGCTAGCATCACGGAAACCATTTCCAAGGAATCGGAGAAAGTCGGTGATAATACCTGCTGTGAAATTATCATACATGCACACTGTAATTCTGCGGATTTCTCCAGACAACAGGAATCGTCTGCAGACAATATAAAATCGGATGTATTTTTTTACCAGACCACTGTAGATGGAAGTGATTTGAATGATATAAATGTCAACAAAAACAATGGAAAGCCGATTACTGTACCTGCCGTGGATATTAATGGATTGACTTTACAAAGTTCACCAAATGAGAAAATTAAACAGTCTGGCAGTGCACCAAAGCATTTGACATACAATTTCGAAGGACATAAAAATGCGTGTGAAGTCAGTCTGCACAAAATCGGTGAGTCAATTTACTTAATAACAAGCATTTTTTTTAAAAATAAAATAAATCAGATAATTGCTAATAAGGTCATAAATATTCAAAATATATGAATTGAAAGTGGATATTAAGAGTACCAAAGAACAAAAATGTGATAATAACTAAATGAAAATTCAATTCCTATGGTCATTACAGATAACCACGAAAGCATTATGGATCCCCAAACAAATAATGAGATGGAGATTGGATGTGATAGTGTCTCAAATGATAACAACAAAGGTCATGAAAGGGGAACTGATCAGACCAGCAATGTGCCTGATCATATACAATTACACGGTTCAAAAGATGAGCACAAGACAGGAACGAAGCAGTGTGTATCGATACAGAGCAGCGAACAGCCACGACAAGGATATATATCAACAATAGATAGTATGAATAAACATTTAGATGCGGAACAAAGGCAACATAGAAGAAGTAAAGACATTTCAGCTGATAATGAAAGGAAGAACAAAGAAACAAGGGATGAAAAAGCCATTAACTTAAAACCGGTTAAGGCAAACACAACTAGTCTTATCAAAGATACAGGTATACAGTTAAAAGATGACAAGGAATCGTTGACAAACAGAAGTGGTAGACAGAACATCAACAAACAGTCTACCAAAATTAAAACAACAAACAGACAGTTAGCAAGCTCAGTTTCAAGTGTTCCTGTTCCAAAAAATAGTAAACTTTATAATGCACGAAAACTGACAGGTCAATCAATCAGCGTGATCAAAGGCACTGTAAAATCACCCGACGGGTCGACTTGTACTTCATCGCCTACTGAAAGTTGCAATTCGTCTACTAAAACGTTCAGTGAGGGTAGCAATTCGCCTAGGTCATCAATGGAAAGGTCCACTGAATCAGAACCTGTAGATCATGATAGTCATACACCAAAAAGTCCAAAATTACGCATTCATCAAACAAAAACTTCACGTCAAAGAGCCAGGAATGCTGCAAAAGAGAGTCCAACAGAAACAAAGCATTTAATACTGTCTGATTCAACCGAGCAAGGAACAAAAGCTGCAAATTCTAACAAGGTATCAAAGAAAACACCAGTAATGACAAGGAAGGACATTTCTAAAAATCAGGACTCTGTAAGAGCAAGTTCCCTTAGCCCACGTCTTGCCGTAACACGAAAATTAAAGTCTGCTTCTGTGAGTCCTGTACTTCAAAAGCGAACAGTTACAAACACAACACATAGTCCTGACCTGTCAAAGAAGGTCTTAAAGAGTCCTAACTTGTCTAGGCAGAAATTAACTGGACCGTCTGGCATTTCAAGGCGCGATAGTCGGTCTTCGAGTGCTAGTCGATCAAGCAAAGAATCAACCCCAGATAATTCTTTAAATTTAAGTTCTACATCAAGGGCTACTTTACGTTTAAGAGGTCAGAACGATGCGGAGAAGAGGCCAATTACTACGTCATCAACAAATGATAAGAAACAAACATCTCTACCCGTAAATTCTTTAAAAACAAGTAAATTAAAAATCCCGTGTGCAAATCCAAAACTTCAAGATAAAACTGGACAAAATAAAACTTCAACATCTGTAGGTGTTAAAACACAAAGAAATGTTATTCCTGTGCGGAAAACCCGAACAACAACGCTACTGAAAAGCCCAAACGAAAGTCCAAACATGTCCAGGAAAACTGATAAAGCAAAGAGTGGACTTTCTAATAAATCACATGAAAGCATTCAAAACAGCCAGAGAGTGAAGTCAGGTTACACAAAAGAACATCAACCTGATCTTAAGAAAGAAACAAATGAAACAGATAAAATCAAACATAAATCAAAGGATCTAGGAGTTAATGTTGACACAAATAAACAAAGAAAAATTCTGTCTACAAAATCTGAAGTAAAAGATGAACAAGTGGGCAAACAAGGCAAACAAAATTCTCTAGCACTGCGAAAAAAATCACCTAGTCCAGTTCCTAAAACAAGAAAAATTGTTAGTCCTCAAGTCCAAAGAAAACCCAATGCTAAGAGTCCAATTACAAGTAGAAAGCCTGTAGTTGACTCTATTCTAAAGAGTCCGGAACTTTGCAGAAGTAAAACAATTAAGGGCCCAAATATGCGTGATCACGTTGTGGAAAAATCAATGTTACCGAAATCAATCAAAGCTCCTAAGAAAATTGATGAAAAAAGTAGCAGTAGAA